TTTGCCATAAAAGAAAAATTGATAATTTTGACCCATACAATGTATTGTTGGCTATTGCTACAAATATACCTATGCTACTTAAGACTGGTTTTGTGCTCCAGGGTCACAAATAGTTTTTTAAATGTTTTTGAAAAGTCTCATACTCACCAAGGCTGCATTTATTTGATCAAAAATATTCAAAATAATATGAAACAGTAAAAGTATTATGAAATATTATAAAGTAACTATTTATATTTGCAAAGCTGAATTTTCAGCAGGCATTACTCCAGTCTTCAGTGTCACATGATCCTTCAAAAATCAATCTAATATGCTGATTTGCTGCTCAAGAAACATTTCTCATTGTCAATATTTCTGTGAAAAAGCATTTATTTGAAATTGTAAACTTTTGTAACATTCAGAATTACTTTCAGAATTTACATTTACAGTAATATTCAAGTAATGCTGTGTCAATAAAAACAGAAACTAAACAATATTTATCAGTTGACAACACATTGATTATTTAACACTTAAAAATAATCAGTATTATTTGTATTTGTTGTGAAATACCAATATTGATCAATCTGCGACTCCTATACCTACAATTAAATTTTCCATTAAAAAAACACTATACATGTTTACAAATAATATATTTAGTATAAACTCAAATCTACCCAAAGGAAGTTTTTGTCAGCTTTAGCTCACTTTCGGGAACAGTCCATAGTCCCCAGTACACGCACGCGCATCAGTTATAGCATGTAATATTATTGGTGACACACGAATTGGCTGACACACCAATTGAGACAGTTAGACATCGTTAACCAACACTTAAGCTGCTGACCACAGATTTAAGTGTGTGTGTGTTATTCAGAGTTGTCCATGATCTCAGAGTGTGCAAATGTGAGTGCTATGCGGTATTTGCTGCACTGGAGTGGTAATAATACTCAATCACATGTAATGAGTAATAATAAGCAGGGCAGAGTAATATTAGTGTAGAGGGGTCCAAATGCTCCGCCAGCCTGTCTCATGCTGGCCTGCAGAGCTGCTAAATAAGACAGTCTTCCCCCAGTCTGTCTGGCTGACTCTCTCTCACACACACACACACACACACACACACACACACACAAATATTCAAAGGGAAAGGTAGCAGGTGCAATGCATCTGCAAGCAGCAGCGGAAAAAAAGGTAACATTGTCCAAGTGTCATGAAGGTTTACTAAAAAAAAAAGCACTTTTCCCATGAAATGTTTCTTGATTATTGGCTCTGATACACATTTGTGCATAGACAACAAACTTTCTGAAGGTCTGGAGGGAGATTTTATCCCTAGTGTGACCTTAACACAACCCTCTATTAAGTTGGGTGAGTGGAGTTTTGGTATCCTGCTCTCGGCTGGATGTGGATGGGCTGGTTTGTGCTGTTTCGCCTTTTTCCATGATCACTCAGTCTGACTCTGCATGAGCGCTGGGAACTAGCTCTCAAAGAATGATATTTCAAATGACACATCATTCATTTCTGTCAGGTTTTGAAATGGAATCTCCATATTCTTATTTGATTGGTCTGTTACAGTATTTATCATCTATAATATGGGTGTTCTCCTCTGTTTTGTTTTTCAGGCTGGCTCCTGCGGGAGGTGCAGGGAGGTTGGCTCCGGCAGAGGAGGTTCTGGTTTGTGTTGACAACAGACTCTCTTGACTACTACAGCGGCCCGGAGAGTGATGCTCGCAGACTGGGCACGCTAGTACTCACATCCCTCTGTTCAGTGCTGTGGCCGGATAAACACACCTACAAACAGACAGGTAACGCGTCTGCAATTAAACTAGGACAGTCTAGTCTTGTTTTTACACTCTCAGAAAAAGTGTGCAAGATTGTACATTTAGGGGTTCAACAGCTTGTCACACTTAAAGGGAAAATATTCTGCCTTATTTACCCCTGGAAGGGGTACCATAGTACCCTAAAGGTACATGTTATTTTTTTGTATAACTAATATGTACATTTTAGGGATAAATAAGGTATCAGTCAAAACAGTTCTTTCTGCACTGAAAGGTGAAAGAGCATGAAACTAAAACCACATCCTCTGTTTTCTCATGACTTGGGTGATGATTTTAAGGTTGTTTTGGTGATTTTTATCATATAATATTCCTTTTTATTATTATTATATATTTTTTTAAATTCCACAATCAACCTCTCCTCAAACATTGTTTGACACCACAAAAATATACTGACAAAATCTGTGTCAGTATGAACGAACACCCCAAGAAAATACTATTTCAGTTTTTCTACTTAAAACGTAATGTTTAATTGAAAGTGTTACTTGCTGTTTCTTTGTAATTGCTTGTGAAATTTACTAGTTTGTAATTAGTTTTTTTCAGTGATGGAGATCGGTTAAAAGTTAATTGTGTGCTTCATAGACTCATTGTTTACTCCCTTGAGATTTACATTTAGAGAACATATTGATATGTTTTCTTCAGTGTATTCCTTAATTGTTTTACTTGGTCTTAAAAAGGTCTTTAAAAAGTTTTCATAAAGCCTGCAGAAACCCAGGATGACTTTATTTGTTTGTCACTCTTTGTCCTGGTCAGTAAATGGTGTGAGCCAGAATTCATAGTCCAGTGGAATATAAACACAGTATTTCACTCACTATTTTAGGGTTTGCACTCAAAGTGACACACATTTTTTCAGAAAGAGCTGATCTTCTGGACAGATCACAGGCACAAAGCGGCCGTGAGACCTGTTGATCTCTTGTCGGCATTGGCGTGAATTCTTTCTTGTGGGAAGACTTTGATTGAGGAAATGAAATGCAGGATTGTTTGAGAAGACCAAAAGACCAAAAGAGAAATGAAGGCAGACAAACGAGAGGCATTGTTGTCTGGGAAGATGGTAGGGAATGACCAGACAGACTCAGAGGCTTAGTCATACTGTATATGTATGTGTGTGTGTGTGTGTGTGTGTGTGTGTGTGTGTGTGTGTGTGTGTGTGTGTACAAGGGCAGCATATTCTGCCTTATTTACCCCTGGAAGGGGTACCATAGTACCCTAAAGGTACATGTTATTTTTTTGTATAACTAATATGTACATTTTAGGGATAAATAAGGTATCAGTCAAAACAGTTCTTTCTGCACTGAAAGGTGAAAGAGCATGAAACTAAAACCACATCCTCTGTTTTCTCATGACTTGGGTGATGATTTTAAGGTTGTTTTGGTGATTTTTATCATATAATATTCCTTTTTATTATTATTATATATTTTTTTAAATTCCACAATCAACCTCTCCTCAAACATTGTTTGACACCACAAAAATATACTGACAAAATCTGTGTCAGTATGAACGAACACCCCAAGAAAATACTATTTCAGTTTTTCTACTTAAAACGTAATGTTTAATTGAAAGTGTTACTTGCTGTTTCTTTGTAATTGCTTGTGAAATTTACTAGTTTGTAATTAGTTTTTTTCAGTGATGGAGATCGGTTAAAAGTTAATTGTGTGCTTCATAGACTCATTGTTTACTCCCTTGAGATTTACATTTAGAGAACATATTGATATGTTTTCTTCAGTGTATTCCTTAATTGTTTTACTTGGTCTTAAAAAGGTCTTTAAAAAGTTTTCATAAAGCCTGCAGAAACCCAGGATGACTTTATTTGTTTGTCACTCTTTGTCCTGGTCAGTAAATGGTGTGAGCCAGAATTCATAGTCCAGTGGAATATAAACACAGTATTTCACTCACTATTTTAGGGTTTGCACTCAAAGTGACACACATTTTTTCAGAAAGAGCTGATCTTCTGGACAGATCACAGGCACAAAGCGGCCGTGAGACCTGTTGATCTCTTGTCGGCATTGGCGTGAATTCTTTCTTGTGGGAAGACTTTGATTGAGGAAATGAAATGCAGGATTGTTTGAGAAGACCAAAAGACCAAAAGAGAAATGAAGGCAGACAAACGAGAGGCATTGTTGTCTGGGAAGATGGTAGGGAATGACCAGACAGACTCAGAGGCTTAGTCATACTGTATATGTATGTGTGTGTGTGTGTGTGTGTGTGTGTGTGTGTGTGTGTGTGTGTGTGTGTGTACAAGGGCAGCAGTTGGTCAGGAGTCATTCATTATCCAGCACAGCGGACACGATAGAAACGGTTTCTTCTTTTAACAAACAAGTTGTCATATAATATCATGGCTAATGCTTTGGCTCGTCCACAGAGTAAAACAGATCTGTTAATGAAAACATTAATGAGGTACAATTTTCGCCTAAGAAATCGGAGATGTTTACAGTGGACACCAGATATTTTGGCCTGTAAATTTTAGAACACCCACTGGTTCTGAAAAACCTGGAAATATCAGGGAATGTAACCATGAAATAGTCATAGAAATGAATTTCCACAGCGAATATACATTGTTCTGCTGTAAAATATTTAATTTGCTAGATATTGCTCTTTGCGAGTGCTTGTGTACAGCGAATACTTGCCCCCAAACAGTCTAGAGAGATTGGTGGACTTCATGGAGATTGAAAAGAAATGGTGTGTTTTGAACTAAAGCTTCATTCTTTTGACTGCCAAAGTTAACAACAGGGGAGAAATGAGATATTAGTTAGATCCTCATAAAAGATCTAGATCCAGCTCTCTCAGAACATCTGAACACATTTACTGCAGGACAGACACGTGAAATATGAGGTTGTCAGAATGCTGGAGCTCTATGACATTTGTCTTTAATCAGAAACAGTATAAGCATATGTTTTGTTGCATTTTTTTTGTTTTTTTTTGCTTTTCTTTGTTTATATACTCTCCTAATTGTTAGGAGATGCTATTTTTGTATTGCTCCTCTTTGTTGAATGGCACTTTTTAAAGAGTTGCACTAAATATGGGCCTCTTTAATGTGTATGTGTGACAGGTTACTGGAGTCTGACAGTGTATGGCCGCAAACATTGCTACAGACTCTTCACAAAGCACTACAATGAGGCGGTGCACTGGGCGTGTGCTGTACAGAAAGTCATAGACAGCAAAGCGCCAGTTGAGACGCCAACACTGCTCCTCATACGAGACATTGAGGTGAGAGAACAAGCAGCAACGGAGATGAACATGACAGCATGTCAACATATATCAAGATTGTAAATGTTGCATGCGCACACTTATTTAGAAAGGATGCTTTAAATAGAACATAAGTGACAGTAAAGGCATTTATAAAAGATTTCTATTTCAAATAAATGCTGTTCTTTTGAACTTTCTTTTAATCAGAGAATCCTGAAAGTTTCCTTAAAAGTATTAAGCAGCAGAACTGTTTTCAACATCAATAAGAAATGTTTCTTGAACAGCAAATCAGCATATCAGAATGATTTCTAAAGGATCATGTGACACTGAAGACTGGAGTAATGATGCTGAAAATTCAGCTTTGCTATCACAGGAATAAATACAATTTTAAAATATATTAAAATAGTAAACAGTTATTTTAAATTCAAGCAATATTTCACAATTTTACAGCTTTTACTGTATTTTTGATCACATAAATGCACCCTTGTTGAGCATGTGAAACTTTTTCAAAAATATTTAAAAATCTTATTGACCCCAGTCAGATTTTGGAAAATAGTGCATAATGTAAGATAATATAATCGTTTTTTTTGTCTCCACTGTATGTGTGTGTGTGTGTGTGTATATATATATATATATATAGATATATATATGGCAGCTTAGCTCCTAAAGACCAGTTCAGGATGGCACACATATACAGACACGGTGTGTAAACCATCTAAACCCCACCCACTGTCATCTTTCTGCCCCACTATATTATTCTTAGTTTGTTGGCTAGTGATTTTACACTTATAGATGTGCTCCTCGGTATACCGTGTCTCTGGAAATAGTTTCGAAGGCAGCGAGTAGCTCTTCAGAATAACCCTGTTGTTATGATGTAATGCCGGCGCTCTTGGATAGATCTGTATTAATAGAATGCTAGTTGCTAGCCCACAGGACTCCTTGGAATCCCATTGAGGTTGTACATAAACGGGCAGACAGACAGGCAGACTATAAATAAAATATTCATGAAGCATTATGTTAAGTATCAGTTAGAAGATATAGTTCTGACATGTAACCTTAAGTTAATATCTGTTTGTACTATTTGTTTTACCACTCACAAACTCAAACACACAGTACATAGTGGTTATGGCAGGAGGTCTTGTCACGTTTAACTGCTCTTAGTTTGGTTGATCATGTCTGTTATAAGCAAACACCCCACAACAAACATAAACTGCCCTTATTCACCCTTGAAATGTACATAGCAGTTTTCATTATACATACACACACAGAGCAGGCCTTGACCAGGGTTGTCAAATCCATCTGTAAGCTGAAATCTGTTTCCATTTCATTCATCCCCCCTCAAGCCATTTTCCCAAACATCGCATTTCCATATAAAACGTCATTTCATCATTTCATTATGGACCCCATAACAAAGAGGTCAAATATTTATGGGGACATAATGATACACAGCAGATATATCTGTCTTGAGTTTATTTATTTCAAGGTGTTTCATTGGCCTTGCATTGCTTTGTGTGTGTTTATGTGCGTTGTATAGGAGAATAAATTCAATCCAGAGGTTGTGGAGCACATCTATGAGCATAATCCCATCCTGAGGTACACGCAGAGCCCCCTCTACGCCCCACTGTTGCCTTTCCCCTATGGCAGCCTCCACCACACACGTGAGTCAACCACACACATACTCACATGGCATATATCACATATACCCACCACTGGTTTCAATGAACCAATCAGATTAGACACCCCCCCTCTTTCTACAACCCTGCCGTTTTGGTGTATCCATGGTCACCCAGCTACCTGTCAAGTAGAAGTAAAGCAAAGGCAAAGCTGTGTTAAATTATAAATGACTTATCTGTGCACGTCATTATTTATTTAAAATTCATGTTACCCACTTAATCAAAAATATTTATGTCTCCTCCCTTTTGCAACAACATCTCTTCTCTGATGACCTTTCCCCTCCAAAAATTTGCTGACATGAAGCCAAATTTGCTGACATGCAACACATAACCATCCAACGATCAAATCAATTTCCGATAGACAAAATCAAGTCCCATCCTATAATTTTTTTTTCTTGGATGTTATAAGTTGCACTGAGTAAATACAGCTGAATAAAACAAAAACTGTGTCCATCTTCATTTCAGGTGGCAAAGCAACAAAATGTGATTATTTTAAAGGGGGGTGATTCTTTTCTATACCCACTGTATATATGTATATATGTATTAACACACCTCGTCTTGCTTTTCTTCTTAGATATGGCAAGTAAAGGCTACACATCCATCCGTGAAGAGGCGGTGAGGCTTTTTAACTGCCTCCAGCAGTTAGAGTCGGCCCGTGAGCCCATTCCTCTCATACAGGGGATCCTCCAGACCTGCCTCGACCTCCGGCCACTCCGAGATGAACTCTACTGCCAGCTTATCAAACAGACCAGCGTTACCAACTTACGTGTCCAGACGCAGACACAGACACAGCTGAATCCACAGCTCAGATACTGGCAGCTGCTCACCTGCATGAGCTGCACCTTCCTGCCCAGCTGCAGCATACTCCGATACCTGCGCTTTCACCTGAAGAGGTGAGTTATGCACATCACATCTGTACAATGCACTGGATGTGTACACTCACAAATCCACCAGCCAGATCTCAACATACACACATAAAGGTTACCTAGAAGTCCTTGAGTATAAACACGCACAACTGCCTCCGGTTCTGCGGTCGAGTGTGTAGGAATTATGGGCTGCCTGAGGTTGACTGGAATGGAAGGTTCCAGGTTGACTTTTCCTCTCCTCGAGGGGCTGGGGAACGGCATGATGCTTTCTGCATCTCATGGCTAATTGACTCTTAAAGTACTGCCAGGCTTGGAGGACAGACAGAAAATAAGAGAATGGCTAAATAAACGAGTGTGCCGTGAGGAAATGGTGCGTTGACCACAGGGCTTTGATTACAGAGGCGGCTGGTGTAATGGAGACGGACGAGTCTCTGTTCTCCTGAGACCCCCAGACGTTTCCCGCATGTGTTTACTTAACACAGATAGGGCCTCTGCCATGCATGCAATTACCAAGTGGCTGACACTTCATATCGCAAATAGACAAACTAAACAGAGAGGCCACACAACTTCCCTCTGATTTTTTTGGAGGGAAATTTTGCGGTTTAGATGCGAAATGATGGAAATGGTCCTTAAAATCCCTTTCTTCTGCTATCAGGGTTCAGAGTTTGAGTGTGGACTCGGAGGTGGAGAGCTACGCGTCCTTCATAGCCCAGGCTCTGGAGAAGACGCGCGGCCGTGAGTGTGTGCCCTCATGGGAGGAGATCCAGGGGCTGATGGGAAGGCAGGAGATACTGTGTACTGTGCACTACCCTGGACCGGGCTGCTGCCAGATACCGATCACCTCACACACCACGGCTAATGAGGTATTGGATCAACCGTTTCCTCTCTAGCAGAGGTTGATGGGAACCTTAAGCCACACAAAGGATTAATCATTAGCACGCAAATAATAAGAACCAGACAGATGTATTTATTTATAAGTGTACTGATTTTAGTAATGTTGAATTCTGTTTTTGCAATTATCCTTCCACAAAAATGTAAGAATATGTGTGAGTTTGTGTGTGTATATATATATATATATATATATATATATATGGCAGCTTAGCTCCTAAAGACCAGTTCAGGATGGCACACATATACAGACATGGTGTGTAAACCATCTAAACCCCACCCACTGTCATCTTTCTGCCCCACTATATTATTCTTAGTTTGTTGGCTAGTGATTTTACACTTATAGATGTGCTCCTCGGTATACCGTGTCTCTGGAAATAGTTTCGAAGGCAGCGAGTAGCTCTTCAGAATAACCCTGTTGTTATGATGTAATGCCGGCGCTCTTGGATAGATCTGTATTAATAGAATGCTAGTTGCTAGCCCACAGAACTCCCCGGAATCCCATTGAGGTCGCACATAAACAGACAGACAGGCAGACAGACAGACAGACAGGCGTGAAAACCGCAGTGGTTGAAATGTTAAGTGCCCAGACCCCTAAATGACCTTGCTGATTGCTATATATCTCTTATAGATAAGATATGCATGGATATTAAATATTTTAACAACAAGATAAGGGAGGCTGTGCTTTATTCTCAATATAGTCTTTGCAAAAAGACACTATATTTTTGCCGTATTGCTTTTTAAAAATGATAGTATTGCTTTTTAAAAATGATAACCATACAATAAAATAAGCTTTGTTTTAATGAAAATGTTGTAATCTTAAGTTTATATATGTATGTACTATTTATTTTACCTCTCACAAACACACATACAGCACATAGTGGTTATGGCAGGAGGTCTTGTCACATTTAACTGCTCTTAGGTTGGTTTATCATGTCTGTTATAAGCAAACATCCCACAACAAATATAAACTGCCATTATTCAACAACAACCAGGGTTGTCAAGTCCATCTGTAAGCTAAACTCTGTTTCCCTTTCATTCATCCTCCCTCAGCCGTTTTCCCAAACACATTTCCATATAAAACATAATTTCATCATTTCATTACGGACCCCATAACAAAGAGCTTATGTGTTTATGGGGATATAATGATACACAGCAGATATATCTGTCTTGAGTTTATTTATATCAAGGTGTTTAATTGACCTTGCATTGCTTTATGTGTGTTTATGTGCGTTGTTTTTGTACAGGAGAATAAATTCAATCCAGAAATTGTAGAACACATCTATGAACATAATCCCATCCTGAGGTACACGCAGAGCCCCCTTTACGCCCCACTGCTGCCTTTCCCCTATGGCAGCCTCCACCACACACGTGAGTCAAACACACACACACACACACACACACACACACCTATGTTGCATATATCACATATACACACCAATGCTCACATAAAGAACATTTCAATGAACCAATCAGAGTAGACACACCCCCTCTTTCTACAACCCTGCCGTTTTGGTGTAACCATGGTCACCAAGCAATATATTTACCTGTCAAGCAGAAGCAAAGCAAACTCGGCATCTGTTTTCAAGTGCTTTGAAGCTCTCAGCTTCCTTGAAAACCTTTACAAAATGAAAAACTTTACCGATGTTTTTTGGTCTCCTGTTTTTTTGAATTCGCCATGAAATCAGAACTAACCATTCTTATTTCTTTTACCTTCTCTCATGAAAATCGGACTTTTCCCCGTGTTTAAGTGCTATAATCGTGCCCCCGGTGCTTCTGCTAACCCAGAAAACGTCAAAAAGAACAACCCAGTAATTTTTTTGGTAAGCCTTTCTCTGCAAGCTTGTGTAAAAACGTGCCGCTCAGATTTTGCTCCCCCTATGATGTAGAAAGGGGATCTTATTATAATATTACCACCCCTTAATCTGCAAGTTTCCACCCATTGTGTTTTTGCAAGTGACAACGGTGTACCAGTTCTAACACCATGGCGAAAGTTTGAGATCTGTCTTCGGCTGCACTGACGAGCACAGAACACTGTTTAGAGTCCCAGCCTCAGAGGAGATTTATTCATTTATTTACTGTATATTACGCTGCTGCCACACAGATCTAATATAAACATGTGACTCGGTAATTCGGTTTATGTTTTTAATATATACTTGTGTGTATTTGACAGTTCAAGCGCAATAAGATATGAAAGAAAACTTACATGCTGTGTGACAGGCGCTTTCTGTGTGTGTGCTTCGGATGTGTGCGCTCATAAATCCGTATATCAGAAGTTTAAACTAATATGCTTTAAAACGCAAGATTTCAGCGTAATAGACATGATAATCAAAATCAAACTTGATGTTTTTTGGCAGAATATCTGAGGAACGAGCTGATGACCTTTCCCCTCCAGCAACTTGCTGACATGAGATTGCAGCAAATAACAAACAACCATCCAATGATCAAATCAATTCCAGATGGACAAAATCAAGTCCCGTTTTTTTTATTGATCAAGCAGCTGATTCACTGAAATATACATCACAATAGTGAAGAAATGTAATCACAATTTCTGTTCAAGAAGACTGACTTGAATGACATTTGGCTATATAAAGGCGTTCTTGACGCATTTTGCACCAAATTCATGAAAAATGTTTCAAGTTTATCTATCTTGCTCTCAGCATCTGGCTTTCTATATATGAATTGCCACTCTGAATGCACAAAATGATTGACAGGCAAAAAAGCACCTCAAAGGCATTCTGATTGGACAAACAAAGAATCTGACCACCAGCCACTTTTATTTGACCATTTACAGAGACAAAGGTGTGATATTCCAGGACAGTTATTGAATAAAGAAGTTGAAATATCCAAAGTTTGAATCTTTAGTGACTACAAAATATACTGTATATACACAGTTAACACACCTTCTCTTACTTTTCTTCATAGATATGGCAGGTAAAGGCTACACATCCATCCGTGAAGAGGCGGTGAGGCTTTTTAACTGCCTCCAGCAGTTGGAGTTGGCCCGTGAGCCCGTTCCTCTCATACAGGGGATCCTCCAGACCTGCCTCGACCTCCGGCCACTCCGAGATGAACTCTACTGCCAGCTTATCAAACAGACCAGCGTTACCAACTTACGTGTCCAGACGCAGACACAGACACAGCTGAATCCACAGCTCAGATACTGGCAGCTGCTCACCTGCATGAGCTGCACCTTCCTGCCCAGCTGCAGCATACTCAGATACCTACGCTTTCACCTGAAGAGGTGGGTTACGCACATCACAAATCTACACAGTGCACTGAATGTGTACACTCACAAATCCACCAGCCGGATCTCAACATACACACATAAATGTTACCTAGAAGTCCTTGAGTATAAACACGCACAACTGCCTCCGGTCCTGCGGTCGAGTGTGTAGGAAATATGGGCTGCCTGAGGTTGACTGGATTGGAAAGTGCACTTCCTGTTCGCTCGTTCTTTTCCTCTCCTTGAGGGGTTGGGAAACGGCACGATGCTTTCTGCATCCCATGGCTAATTAACTCTTAAAGTACTGCCAGGCCCGGAGGATAGACAGAAAATAAGAGAATGGCTAAATAAACGAGTGTGCCGTGAGGAAATGGTGCGTTGACCACAGGGCTTTGATTACAGAGGCGGCTGGTGTAATGGAGACGGACGAGTCTCTGTTCTCCTGAGGCCCCCAGTCGCTTCCCGCATGTGTTTACTTAACTCAAAAAGGGCCTCCGCCATGCATGTGATTACCAAGTGGCTGACACTTCATATCGCAAATAGACAAACTAAACAGAGAGGCCACACAACTTCCCTCTGATTTTTTTGGAGGGAAATTTTGCGGTTTAGATGCGAAATGATGGAAATGGTCCTTAAAATCCCTTTCTTCTGCTATCAGGGTTCAGAGTTTGAGTGTGGACTCGGAGGTGGAGAGCTACGCGTCCTTCATAGCCCAGGCTCTGGAGAAGACGCGCGGCCGTGAGTGTGTGCCCTCGTGGGAGGAGATCCAGGGGCTGATGGGAAGGCAGGAGATACTGTGTACTGTGCACTACCCTGGACCGGGCTGCTGCCAGATACCGATCACCTCGCACACCACGGCTAATGAGGTATTGCATCAACCGTTTCCTCTATAGCAGGGGTTGGGAACCTTAAGCCCATGTGCCACCATTGGCACACAAAGGATTAATCATTAGCACGCAAGTAATAAGAACCAGACAGATGTATTTATTTTTGTAATGTTAAATTCTGTTTTTGCAATTACCCTTCCACAAAAATGTAAGAATATGTATTTATTTATTAATTTGCTCTGTTACTTTAACATGGATTTTTCTCTGTTGTTATTAAAACTAAAATAATTACTTTTAACCCTGCATCCTCATGTGAGGACATTATATTTCAGTGAATTTCTCTGAGACTATACATGCCACAGTTTTAAGTCTGGATGTCCTGTACAGAGCACATTCAGGGCTTTTCAGAGATACTAAATGTTTGGATGTTTCACCATGACCACTCCCTCTCCTTGGTCTTCAAAAATGTCTGATAATTTAGTGACACTCTTATGGAAATATAATATTTTGTAATTATCATTTAAATCTGACTAATTTTTAAACTGTGTGTCATAAATCAACATCTCAGGAAAATGTTATGGGGTTTCAAATCAAAATATGACTTTCTGTTACGAAACAGGATGTTGATTTCATATATGTCCTCATATGAGGACACTGGGACTAAAATAGACACAACAAATGAATAGGGAAAGAAATTATTTTTTCAATATTCCTATGAAATATTATAAATTATTATGAAAATCTTGTCAATTATTACTCCCATTATTACACTTCTTTTTTCATTACATGTTGTCCCAAAAACACATTAATATGCAAATTAGATTTAGTTTATAGATACATTATATATAATGAAAAAAACTGTTTATGGCCATTTTACACACATTTTGCATAAAGAAAAATGGTATATCAAATCATTCTGTTATAACATAGTTGAGAATTATCTTTATACAAAGTTTGGAAAAAAAAAATCCCGAAAACTAAAAATGTATTGGTGATTAAAAAAAAATCAATTGTTTTTGCCTATGCATGTTCATTCATGTGTTTTTATTTAAAAAAAAAAATTTGAGTCCCGATGTCCTCTACCAAGGACGTAGCATAACTTATGAATGAAATATAATTTTTAATTATTATTATTATTATTTTTTAAATCATTTTTTTAATGCTCTAAACAATGTAATGACATGAAAAAAAATTTTTTTTTTTTCTAAAATGTTTTGCCGGGTCTCAAGAGGTTAAATCAAAGTTGTTTTTGTAAATTGAAATATTAAAAAATATTAGATGAAAAAACTTGGCAACTAAGTTTATGCACTAAAATGACTAAACTAACACTAGAATAGAAATAAATAAAAGCTAAACAGAAATATAAACTAATACAATTAATAAATTAAAACTGAAAATATAAAAATAAAACCTAATTCAAAATATGAATAAATACTATAATAGTATATAAATAATACTAAAATAACAATCTCGCTCTTATTTTCTCTGTCCAGGTCGTGAGGAAGATGGCGGAACGCCTCGGGCTGCAGGACAGCCGAAACACATTTGCTCTTTTTGAGCAGAACTCGTGCTGGGAAAAAGCTATCGGAGGCAGCACCATAATCGCAGATGTCATCACCAGATTTGAAAAGTAAATATTTTTAATAAATATCTTCAACCTATTGTAATATGTTTAATACAACTAATGTACTGAACCTAAAGTACCACAGCACTATAGTTTGTTGGACATGGTACCATGCAAGTACCATGTTTTTTGAACATTAACCGTGATAGTACTATGGTGTTTTTTAAGTACTATGTAAAGACCATGTAATCAATCAGTACCATGGTATATGTCAAGTTGCAATAATGATGATATGTCAAGTTAACGATAATATTACCATCCACGATAGCACCACAGTACAGTACAGTGTAGATCTGTGTTTTCATCATTGATTTATTAACTTTCCCAGCACTTTAGCACAGTTTAACCAACCCCCCTGATGCACGCACACACACACACTGTGAGAATGGACAAGCAGCTCTTTATTAGTATTCTGTGTTCCAGTAGGGATCTCAAGGTTAAACTGATGTCATCAGCATTAACTGATGTGGGAAGCAAACTGAAGGATAGATAAGCCAAGCCAGCCAGAATTCAAGGCATCCGCTTTATTCTGGGAAGTGTGTTTGTGTGTGTTTTTGCACGTCTCAGTGCCAACTCTTCCCAGAAGTGGGTTCATGGACACACGCCTAGTCTTTCTCTCACACTCGTATATGTGTACACACACAAACAAACCTGCGCATACAAAACTAAGCAGCATAAAAAGCTTAGCAAATCAGGGTGAGTCATATGTTTCGGAATGATGACATCGCTCTGTTGGGGTGATTTTAGTTGTGTGTTTAGGAAGCGTTGGCGGATTTCATTTGTTGCCGCCATGCTCTGCTTGACAAGTCTCCTGAGCTACTTGAAGACTCATAGTTTAAGACAAATACATAGTTTTAGTATGCTTGAGAAGGGGTTAAATAATAAGCCTGTAAGAGGGCTGGGGCCCTCTTCAGATGTGTATCTGATTCATATGCGTTTTCCATTAACGAATCTCTATCTCTGTCTCCCAGTTTGTCAGCTAAAGATCCAGACACTGACAGCCAGTGCCGACTCTGCTTTAAACTGTATTGTCTCCTGGACACCGACAACATCAGTACAGACAGCATTGAGTACCTCTTCCTGTATGAGCAGGTAAAACGACAAGAGACGGGCGGAGATGAGCAGAAATGAAAAAGCTAAATTAGGGGTAGGCTATATGACCAAAATCTTATATCACGATATGTATGAGTCATCTCATTTCACTGTAACGATATATATCACAATATAGCTATTTTTGCTTTAAATAAGGTTTTATATCAAAATTTTGGATACTTTTGATAGAAATTTCTATATTTTTGATAGAAATTTCATAATTCTTCATAATTCAATATCACAAGAAACCATTACTGGCCTAAATTTAAAAAAAAAGCTCACTGAAGACAAGTAAACGGTCAGCGATCAAATAAGAATAAGAAACTAATTACAAACAATAGGACAAAAAAACTACAGTAGAACAAATAAATAATAAATTATACATTCATTGTATAAAGTAATCAAATGTATAAAAACAGTTCAAATTTTTCCCGTGTACATTAAATATATATTTCTTCTTATTAAAGTTACAAAAGTGATTTAGTCGAGAGGAGTGAGTGATTTTCTCTCTTTGGTTGTTTGATTAACATGAATGACAGACAGCAAGATCTAATATACGTACTGCTACACGTGTCTTCTTTCTCAGCAGTTTGCTTTCACTTAAGACCTTAATTAGTGTGTTTACAAAGATAATTACAAATACCAGTATTTTGACACACAAAAGTGTGTGTATTTTACCATTCAAGGCCTATAAAGCGGCAAAAATAACTTCAATATTCCTGCGCTCTATGAGCACGTCTTCACATGTGCATGTCTCTCTAACAGCGCTCAGAAAAGTCTCTCAGACAGCACGCGCATATAGCAAAATTAGTTCTCTTTCGCTGCTGATTGCGTTTCAGCGGCATAAAATCACTTGGTTTTTAACCGCAATGTTTAAAAACACATGCAAACTATACGTTTTCGTGACCGCGTAGCACAGGAACATCACGTGAGCGTGTAACCGCGATAGAGACGATAATCAAAAATCTCTACCGGTTGACAAATTTCTACCAGTTAATCGTGTCCACCGTTATATCGCCCACCCCTAAGCTGAATGTTGATGATTGAAATTCATGAGTTTTACAATATTCACACTGTTAATGAACTGAATTAAATTAACGTTAAACTGAACTGAGCTGAGTAACAACATGTCTTCAGTAGAGCTGCTCACACAGAACTTTACACAGTTATTGAACTAAAATGAATCAACACTGAACTGACTGGAGCTGAATAATGACACTGTTGTCTGGCTACAGCTGTTTTATGGCAGAATTTGGATTTGCCTCATTTCGGAAGTTTGCATCAATGGTTTTGTTACTTTCCTGTTCAATACTGTGAAAAACTAAAGGTGACTTGACTGTTGAGTAAAAGTATACAGCGAAAAAGAAGACTAAAATAGAAGTGGCCTATAGTGGAATGTGTTTTATAAAAGGCTAATAATAATAATAATAATAATAATAATGGATATCTTCCTCTGAACATTTAAAACAGGGATTTTCCAATTCTTCCTCTCTGTTTGTTTCCAACTAGTTTCACAGTTGTGTGGACCGATGTGTGCCTAACGTCTTTATCAGTCGAGTGAAAAGCAAACATACAAACACAGCACACTAGTGAACTCGGTAAACTTTCCCTCGCTTGACTTCCTCCCCCCTCTCTCTGTCTCAGTGTCATGAGATGGTGGTGCGGGGGCAGCTGCCAGCCTGTGAGGACGACCTTCTTTCCCTGGCAGCGTTGAGACTGCAGTGTCTACTGGGAGATTTCAGTGCCCTCTCACCATACCCACCCTTGGAGCAGCTCTTTCCAGCTGAAGTGGTGGAGGCCCGGGCCCTACTGGCCCCTGTTGATCCCCCTGGCTGTCCTTCATTCCCCGGGGGTCTGCTGGCTGGGACGCTGTGGGGACACAAGCGGCGTCAGGAACAGGACCAAAGACTGCGGGCCAGACTAAGGGAAGAGGGAGCCGTGGTGATGTCGGCCATTTTGGAGCGCTGGAAAGCCCTGGCAGGATACAGTCGCAGAGACAGCATGGCCGCCTATCTCACCATCGCCCGGCAGTGGTCGGGGTTTGGCTGCACGCTCTATGAAGTGGACTTTTACATAGTGAGTGGTTTTCACTATATAACTGTTTTCAACATTGATAATAACAAGAAATTTTCTTGAGCGGCAAATCAGAATATTAGATTGATTTCTGAAGGATCATGTGACACTGAAGACTGGAGTAATGATGCTGAAAATTCAGCTTTGCCTCACAGGAATATGTTAGAAAACAGTTATTTTAAATTGTAATAATAATTCACAATGCTATTTTTACTGTATTTTGTTTTACCAAATAGATGCAGTCTTGATAAGCCTAAGAAGCTTCTTTCAAAAACATTGAAAAATCTTAAAGGTTTGTACCACCAGACAATCAGAGCTGTGCCTATCATCCTCCTGTTTCTCATAGAGCTCGACAGGAAGCTTCTCTCAGAAGTTGTGGCTGGGCGTGGCGGCTTCCTGTGTGTCTCTGTATCGTCAGGGTGAGGCTGAAGCGTTGGAGTCTCTGCCGATTGGTCAGATCTGTTCCTATGGCGTCTCTGATAGCAACACATTCAGGATCACTGCAGGAGACAGAGATCTGCTCTTCGAGACCTCCAAGGTAAGCGTGCAACGGCACCATTATATCAGCAATATCCCTAACTGGTGTCATAACGAAAGCAATAAAGTGACTAAAACTAAAATACAAAAAAGCTAAATAGAAATATATATTTTTAAAAGTAATTAAAATGTATACAAAAAATATAAAAACAAGAGCTAATTTAAAGGGGTCATATGATGTTGCTAAAAAGAACATTATTTTGTGTATTTGGTGTAATGAAATGTGTTTATGCGGTTTAAGGTTCAAAAACCACATTATTTTCCACATACTGTACATTATTGTTTCTCCTCTATGCCCCGCCTTTCTGAAACGCGTCGATTTTTACAAAGCTTATCGTTCTGAAAAGCGAGGTGTGCTCTGATTGGCCAGCTATCCAGTGCGTTGTGATTGGCCGAATACCTCAAGCGTGTGACAGAAATGTTACGCCCCTCACCATACTGTGATGCAGTCTCCCGGCACGACTAGACGAAACCATTAAAACCCATTATAAACGAGGCATTTGTTGCACCCAGTGGGGACATAATTATGGATTATAATGACTTATACTGTCTTTTGCCGCATAAACGTAAAACCATGTCTGCATTTGTGATCGGAGAAATGACAAACAACAAGCACTACTCTACACTGC